ACACCACGGAGGTAAAAGAGGCAAGTAACTGGTCACTGTATTGTACAGATAATTGAGTCTATGTAATAGTTGCTCAGCTAGTCAACAAATATCCTGCCTTTCGTGAAACTAAAAGGTTCCCTGCCACGTTTACAAGATAATTAAATATAAGACACACCTTTAAGATACATGTATCATAGTTGTAACTGGTTAATTTGGAAAACACATGTTGAATATATTATCCTCAAAATAAGTTCAGCATCTCAGTTGTGAGGACAGTAATAACTGATGCTTTAAATTTAGTTTACTTTCCTTATATCATGTTGTGCTGCATAATATTGAGAAATTCAATCCATGAAACACAAATAAATACTAATTTGAATTCTTCTACTGAAATAACCAAACTAAATGACGAATTCTGATATATAGTTGCAGTTGTTTTCACATAATATTATGAAAATACTTAGATAAATTTATGAAAATAATTGCATTTGAAGTACTTACTCTCAAATTTTCTTCTCTTATTTTCACTGATGTGCTCAATATGGGTTCCAAAACGTGTACTGAAATGTCTTTCTATACGCTGTGCTTGGTCTATCGTTTCTTGTTCACCATCAGAAGGCACCTCACATTCTGGGACCTCCTGCATTCCCCCTTCAGTCTTGCTTTTAAAAACGCACCTCTTATGTTCACTAGCCATTATAATTCTCGAATATTTATTGCCACTGTGTATCTCTGCTCTCAGTGGGAAGTTACTCCGCTCAGTTTGAAAAGTATTACTCAATATCAAACTAGAACTTTGGCTGACTCTGGGTGAAAAATTATCAACACTCATTTCGTTGTCTTCCAAAGAAACATTATTTATACTTGCTCCGTTTTCCATTGTACTGGACAAAACAAATTATTTCTTTGATACACTACTGTTCATTCCCTTTTTTAAACATATATTACACTTTGAAACAGATGATGCATTATGTATAAATTCCACTCTGTAAAATAATTTACTTAACTTGAAATTTATTAAATTGTAAATCGTTATGTAAATAGCTGCAATAACTACAACATTAAATTTGTACTGCTACTGTATTCGTATTTACTCTGTATTCGTAGTATGACATGTTCCACATCACTGACTTGTAGTATGAAGAATCTGTAGCACATAAAAAATTCTAATTCTAATTAAGACCAAAAACAAGCAGTGTCACTTAGAAAATACCCTTTCTAAATATACTGCTTATACCTCATTTTATAAAATTCCTCATTTAACCTCTACAAACTTTGCTGCAGACTCTTTACTTCCATAAATCTACAAAATGCCAACATTTAAAAGATGAAATCGCATAGTTTAGATTTGTATTTGACACGCAGTGAAGC